AAAAAATATTGTGTTCTTATAATTTGGTTAGTTTGCTCATTCCGATTATTTAAGTAATACAACCAAAATTGAATTAAAATAACTGATATCCTAAATTTAAGAACATATTATGGAATTGAATTTAAAAGTTCGAATCGAAATTTTAGATCGGTCAGTTTATGTCTATATTGTGCAAGGTGATAGTAATTTATATGCAATTCGTCCACCAATATTGTGCACTTACAACCCAAACATCTTGAATGATATGTCACAAACCAAACTAACATCGAACCTAAATGATCAATTTTTTTTTATATATTTTTTTTACCGATTAATCATATTATATTAAATAAACAAAATGATTTATTATGTAATTATAAAATACATTTTATGTTTTAATATTATGTTTAATATTTTTTGTATTTATGGTTAAAAATGTAATACATAAAATATTAGAATCTAAAAAGTGCAATCCAATAGACAATAATGTGCAATCGTCTAGTATTATTATGCAATCAACTGGTCGAGTGTTTTTGTGCTTCAAATTTATAAACTTCTACAATGTGTACTTCGATTATCATTATTTTTTCATTTGTCAAGATTTTTATATCGTAAAAATATATTTAGCATTTACATTTTTCTTTAATATTTTATATTATGGTTTGTTAATGAGTAAATAATTTATAAAACTATAATTTTAAAAGTGAAAAAAAAAAATCGAACTGACATAAAAAGTGGCACAAAAATTCTGTTCATATATCTCGGTTGTTGTTGTGCAATCTAATTTATCTTATTATTTTAAGTAATAAATATATATTTAGTACTTATTATTTAATATTTTATATTATTTATTTAATTAACCCTACATTGTATTTGTTATGCTAAGGTGCAATATCACTGACACAAAAAGTGCAACCCGTCAGTCAATAATGTGCAATATGTCCAATAACATCTTGATATTTTTTTCTTTTTATTTAATAATTTTGTTTTTTTCTTTATGTATTTAAAATGATATATAAAATAGTATACTTTATATACTTTTTACAATTTACAAATTTGACCCATAGGTTAAATTGTAATATAAATAAAATTATGAAATTTACAATTAGATCCCTAAACATAATCAAATTTTCAAAAATAAACCCCCAATTATAACATCCACAAATCAACCCCCAATTCTAACATCCATACAAGTCAGATCTTCATCCTTCTCTTGTATCACCACCATCAATCTCGTCGGCGATGGCGCGAGATTCACTGGGGGTGCGCCGGTGTGAGGTGCCTGTCGGAGGCAACGGACGGTGGTTTACGGGATGTGAGCCGCTGCGTGCGTGTGTGTGTGTCGGACTTTGTGACGGTATGGCGGCTTGGGACCTGTCTCTCTCGACGGCTGGTAGGTTGCGGGGGCGCGGCGTTGTGGATATAAAGGCGGCAGGCGGCGGCGCTGTGTGGTGACCGGCGTGGAGGGATTTTTTTTTTTTTTTTTTTGTGTGTGTGTTTTTTGTGTCAATTGGGTGTGAGAGAAATGTGTGTGGGAAGGAGATGGGTGAGGGTGACGTGGTGAGTTTGTGGTGGAGCAGGTTTGTGCGTTGACTGGCAGTAATTGTGAGGTGGTTTGTTAGTTGACATGGGGCTTACAAACAGATATATATAAAATACCTAAAATATCATTAATGAAGGTATAATTTTGACTTTTATTTTAACCATTAGATCATTTGATCTAATGGTCACGATTTATTCTTATTTCTTTTCTAGAGCACCATTCTCACTTGAACTCAACCATATATATATATATATATATATATATATATATATATATA